TCACAGATCTACCAGCCAATAATTTAATCTTACTTGAGTATGTGACCATGTCATTGGATGATATTATGATTACTTCATTGTCTCTGTTCATATGTTACTACCTGCGGGTTTGTGTGGGTGTGTGTGTGTGTATGTGTGTGTGTGTGTGTGTGTGTGTGTGTGTGTGTGTGTGTGTGTGTGTGTGTGTGTGTGTGTGAAAGGAGTTGGCCCAGGAGACTCACCGAGAGACAAGAGAACACATTATTAGACAGGCATGTTGCAAACACACACAACACTTGTTTATTGCCACCAACTACGCCTACGTGTGTGTGTGTGTGTGTGTGTGTGTGTGTGTGTGTGTGTGTGTGTGTGTGTGTTCTCTGGGCATGAATGTGGGCGAGGGATGCAGCAGTGAGAGAGGGGAAATTGTGTGATTGCGGCCGTGAGCTTGTGTGTCGCAAGAGTCCAACACTAGTGTGGATGTGGGTGAAAAAGATGGTGTGATTACAAATGAGAAAAGCAAAAGCAGGTGAGAGCGAATGTCGAGTTTTTAGTTAGTGTTTTTTTTTTTTTTTTTTTTTGGTGGACAAAATAAAAGCAACACCTTACTGTTTGACAGTGAATAAGAATCAGGTGAATCTATGGGCGGTGGTGACTCTGTTATGCAAATATCCTGTTATACGAGTCTACTTGTGACCACTGTTCCTCTTTGCTGACAAACTTTCCTCCTGTGTTTGACATACACCGATGTACTGAATATTGTCATGATGTGCCCTTTTCCCACATTACATCATTTTGCAGTGCTTACAACAGATGCTGCAGATTTTTACACCTTGGCACCAAACGCCGCTATTTTGTATTTCATTGAATATGGTTCACGTGAACGAATGAATTTTACTGCGCGTTACATGACGATCCCTAAATTGTCATTTACTGTAAGGCCATTGTATTAGGAAGGGCGTTTTGTTAATTTGTCCACTCTGTGTGGTGTGTAAATGCTCGGGTTGGGTGTCACCACTGCTGTGTCATATAAACGCATGTGATCCAGTGACAGGTGATGCTCCAGCTGTCCCCGACCCTCCCTCTGACCACAGACAACACATGGGACAGTCACAAACAGGCCTGACACTTCAGCAGCGGGGGCTTCCCTGAACCCAGATAAGATCCCTCTGACTGAGTCCACTCACAGAGAGAGAGAGAGAGAGAGAGAGAGAGAGACACATGTCCAAGTGTCCAGTGCTATTAAGTTCAGTCACTTAATGTGAGTTCAGTTTTTCATGTTGGTCAATTAAAGATGATATAATAATTAAAGATTATTTCTATTATTTTGGATTCACTGAGGATACACTGTCTCCAGAATACATTAGACACAGGACTGAGACCGATGATCTCATTTGTAAGAGTTTAATAAATATATTAATCAATTTATTATTTAGGCCTAATCTATAAACTGTCCAAAAATAGTGAAAGTGTCCTTCACAACACGTCAAGGCTGTACATGACATCCTCAAATTGCTTGTTTTATCCAACTAACAATTCAAATCATTCAATTTACAATGTTAAAAAAGCTGAACATAGTCATATTTGACAGACTGAAAACAATGAATATTGTGTATTATTATCTTTAAAATATGGAATGGGCGAGATAGGCAGTGAGAACAGAAAAGGATATTGAATAAAAATGTCATTCACAGAGAGTTATCTACAGTATGTTTGATCTTTGACCTGCACTTCATGAACTTCCAGTCAGCGCAGTGGCCGGTGGAGACATGAAGCTTGGGGACAACGGTGGGGAGGACTCGGAGCTCCTGTTCACACAGGAACACCCTTCCTGAACCACCTTCCTGCCCTCCCCTGGGACTGTCTGTCTGTTATCTGCTACAACACAACAAACACAGAAGGATACAAACAGACAAACAAACACACATACATCATGAACATATTCTTGTTTATGCTACACTGCCTGTCACCGAGGAAACAACAAGCAAACAAGGAGTAAACAAGGGACCACATCCTTGTTAGGACATTAACTGTGGCCAAAGAGCTGGAGGGGAGGGGTTTAATGATGGAAAACTAATAAAGACCTGTTGAGAGTAAACAACTGAGTGACACCACCGGCTAAACGTCATCGCAAGCCCAACTGACAGTTTGTCCCGCAGAGTAAACAAAACCAATTATGTTCATCAGCTGGTGCAGCAGAATTCTGTTGCTCAGAATAAAACGGAGAACATGGCTTTTTCCAATTTGGCTACATTAGGTTATGAGGAATCGAGTCGTGATAAGATGAAATAACACAGATACCATCAACTTTATCATCCCTGCAGGCCACATTTTTCTAAGACACTGAGCCAGCAGCAACAATAAGGGAAATAAAAGCAGCCAGCATTAAAACAAGAACAGACAACAGCGTATGTCAGACATACAGTAAATTATGTCATAGATACAGATTTGCTTTATAAACCCTACCGGAGACTTACTACAAATGTTGTGTGGCCAAGCATTGTTTAAATGCACACAACTTTATTTCGACGAAGCAAAAGTGTCCAGAGATGTAACATATGTCAGGGCGAATTTTGTCAAACGTGTATAGAATGATAAACAAGACAATATATTGCCTTAGTACCTCAGGATTGAATATTTCGTATTATATAGGCCTACAAGAGACACAGAATAAACTGTGAATAAATAAAATATATAGTGATATCCAGCTTGAAAATATCGATTTTTCCCAACTTTAAAATTACTTGCGAAGAGATTTAAGAGGAAAATTCAAGAGGTCAAGAGGTCAACAACTTCTCTCCCTGTGTGTTTGAGGAGAAAGAGGAGAGAAGAGAGGAGAAGAGAAAGAGAAAGAGGAGAGAAGAGAGGAGAAGAGAAAGAGAAAGAGAAAGAGGAGAGAAGAGAAGAGAAGAGAAGAGAGAGAAAGAGAAGAAATGTCTGCTTTACCATGAATGTCATGTAGAACAGCGATCCCTCACTCACACACAGCCCTCTCGAGCCGGCCGGTGCTGATAGAGCAATTCACACTGCCATCTGTTGGGGAGTTATAAAGCCTGGAGAAAAGCTTGGGGCTGCTATCGCTGCATTCTCTGATCCACGCCAAAATTCTACCATCGCATGATTACTGACACATGGAGACGTGACATGCAAGAGGGATATGAGATACCGGATGAGGTAGAACGAGGGAGTGCGTGGTAGCCTTGACATGTAATGAATGGTAATTAGGTGTTGTGAAGCGGTGTGTCTTATTCAGCAGGGGAAACAAGGCTG